GGCAAAAGCCAAGGGGAAGGCGAAGACCGACGAGGAGCTGGCCCTGAAGGACGCCGAGGATGCCAAGATCAAGGAGGCCGAGGACGTCAAGATCCAGGAGGCCGAGGACGCGAAGATCAAGGAGGCCGAGGGCGCGAAGATCAAGGAGGCGGAGGCCGCCAAGTGCAAGGAGGCCGAGGACGCGAAGATCAAGGAGGCGGAGGCCGCCAAGTGCAAGGAGGCCGAGGCCAAGCAGCGCATGGAAGCCGAGGCCGCCAAGCGCAAGGAGGCCGAGGACAAGCAGCGCCAGGACGCCGAGGCCAAGCAGCGCATGGAAGCCGAGGCCAAGCGCAAGGAGGCCGAGGACAAGCAGCGCATGGAAGCCGAGGCCAAGCAGCGCCAGGTGACCCCGCCGAGAAAGCCGCATGCAGAGGTGGCGACGCCGCCGAAGTCGCGGATCGTGCGACTGCCGTTTGGCGAAGTTCAGGTCGTGGGCGATGACGGCAAGACGGCGACCGTGAAGATGTCGTTAAGCAACGGGGGAAACCGCGACCTCTTCAAGTGACAAGTGTGTGGAGAAGCTGACGGTCCACACATGCTCCGGCCCAGGCGCAAAGCAGCAGGATGTCATCTGGCAGCGGCCGGCTTGGAAGCCCGCCAACCGTGGCCTTTCTGATGGCCGTAATCTCATCGACTACCGCACGATGACTGGCGCGACCTTCTGCGTGAACCCCAAATTTTTGGATCCACGCGCCCACTAGGGTCGTCGTGAGTGCTCTTTTTTGGTGGCGTGTACAGAGCTTTGCGTGCAGGCTAAAGCTGAGCGACACCCGAGGGCAACAGTCGATGTTTCAGAAAAACACTTCTTCGGTTTGTTGCGGTGCTGTTGCGGTCGAGCTGCCTGTCCACACTGCTGACCGTGCTGTACCCTAAACCCTAAACCCAAACCCCCCAAACCGCCAGGTGCCGTCAACTTCGAGCTTTGGAAAAGGCACTGCTCCTGAGTGTTTTCCGAAGCAGGGAGGCAGTGAGTGCGTTGCAAGGCGTGAGCATTTT